GGAGCGGGCGAGCCTCAGGAAGGCCGCGAGGAAGAGGAGGCGGAGGATTGGCACACCTGGCGATCCTGTTGCGTCGCGTCGGGGCAGCGGCGGGAGATCGTGGAGGCGGCGGCGTCCGGTGGCGTCGGGTCGGCGGCGCAACTCCGGTGTCCGGTGGCGTCAGGCAGATCGATGGATCGGGATTGAGGAGGACGGAGCCGAGGTCGCGAGGAGGAGGCCTCGGTGTTGCGAGGTCTGGCGAGGGCGTCGCACGTGGCGGCGGTGGCTCGAGGAGGAAGCCTCGGTCTCGCGGTCTCGCGAGGGCGTCGCACGAGGAGGAGGAGGAGGCGTCGCACGAGGAGGAGTGGGCGCGACGAGACGGACGATTCAGTCCTACCTACCGGCGCTTCGAAAGAAGAAGAGTCGCGGTCGCACGTCGTTGGCAAAGAGGCAGACCCAAAACAAACGTCGCACCAAAAGATGTCCATGCTTTGTTCTTTTTAGTTGTAGGAGATAACCCTTCAAGTATGTAATCGGGGATGGTCACTAATTATTTTGTTTTAAGGATTTAAAACAGGATATATTCAAAAGCTCCATCATTGACCCGAATTTACAATCTGGGTTCTATCGCTCATCCACCCGAACACGTGTTCGGGCCTCGACGCTGATATGATTATCTGCTAGCACAAATATGTGACAATATCGAGAGCGTGTTCTTTGTGAAAATCCTAAGTGACTCTATACGCTCAAAGTCAATTGCACGGAGTACATAGTGCGGCGGACCGCTCGAGTCCAGAATGCTATAAATTCCCAAATATGACTTAAGCATACTAGATAGCTAACGGAAGATGCAGACAGTCACCGCAGTGTTTACCACAGCATGCTTGCTAGCAGATATTACAGCTCAATATATGTTTGGGAAAGTCAAAGTCAGGACAAGAAGAGTGTTTTGGTAATTCCAATTACCAAACACCAAACTCTTAACTCCTGAAGTCTGCATACCCGAACACCAAGATCACGAACATTGTCAATATTCTTGAAAGAAGAGCTCGGGGCTGACAACAAACTCCCGACCAAGAATACTCGGTCGCAAAGCACCCGATTGTGAGGTGCCCGATCAAGAGAAATTCCAAGAATAGATCTAGAGTATCCGATTGTGAGGTACCCGATCACAAGAAATTCAAAGGATAAATTTTCTCCGATTCAGAGGATTAGATTGTGAGCACCCAATCAAGATGCCCAATGGTAAAGTTCTCATCGGCCAATCAAGAAGGCCAACCACAGGCCCGATCTACAAGAGCCGACAATTACACCAACCATTCAACCAAGAGGCACGGCGACGTTTTATCTAGATGCGTTTCGCCTGGAAGTTGGCTGATGTCTCGTGTAGATCGGGTCCACTTCGGTCAACTCAGAGCAACAACTTCCCGGCCTCCACGGCAACGTTGAATATGGCGCCCGCATGGTGCTAGCGCCGATCGACACGCACACGGCACGGCAAGAAAGCTGCCCAGCCGAGAAGGATGCTTTCGGTCCCGAGGGATCCTCGTTCGGCCTCGACCAACAGACAAATACAAAACCAATCAACAGCAAGCAAAGCAAATAAGGAGTCCGTATGTCTTACAGTGCCACGCAAGCAATAAAATGTTGTGCTTCTACGTACACATGCATGCATACATGCACGAACGGCACATGACAAATTTCACATGGACCCATATTTAGCAAACTCTAGAGCCGTCGACGAGCCACAAGCGAGCCGCCGTCGAGCCGCAAGCTGTGGTGTCCGACTACTCGCCCACAAAGGTCAAGCTGATGCTCGGGGCTCCCAAGCCCAAAACGCCAGGATCGCGTACCGACTACTCTACTCAGCCATTGCTAGAACAAGACCTCGGGGCTGACGACCCAACTAAAAAAAGAGTTCGGTCGGAAAATACCCGATTACGAGGTACTCGGTCACAAGTAATACCGAGGTGGAAATTATTCAGAGTTAGAGAACTAGATTGCGAGCACCCAATCTCAAGGTGCCCGATCATAAAGTTTCCGAATGCCAAAACTTAATTACATAAGTCTCGATGACTACGAAATATCCGATCTCAAAGGATCCCGAGGCATATTACACCACTACCAGGGGATTGCACTGTTCAAATAAGTTCATCTCTCAATGGCACAACTTTCCGACTTCCGCTGATTCGGGTCTCCGCTCGAGAGTGGTTACTTAGAGTTCCCCGAGAACCAAGTGCAAAGCACCCGACTTAAAAAGTATCAAACATAAGCGAGCAATAAGTTGCGTTGACAAGTCAAGACAGCCTGGGTATGGCACTAGAACAAGCTCATCTCCCAACATCGCACCTTTCCATCGATCTGTACAGATCGGGTCTAAGTCTCAACTGGTTACTCGGGCTACCTCTTGGTACCCAAAGTACAAACCACCCAACTAAGGCAATCCCGATTTCTTGCAGACGGTTAAGCTGCTTTTGACAGACAAGCTTGGGGGCTTATGTCGATGCCATACCCCGGGGTATCCCAACTACATGATTTGCTGAACACCGACTCCGGATCAAAAGAGACCCGACCAGGCGCGACGACCCTATTCAAGGAAGGATATCTCCGGATTACGTTAAGACTCCAACTATGGTACGACTACTTAGCTTAGGGGGCAAGTTAATCCCGGATATAAATAGCTAGCAATACCCCCATTGTAACCATCGAATATCTTATCGCCCATAGACATAGCTACATTGTAACAGCAATCTCGTTGCCTGCTAGGCCTTGTTTGCTTAGCTGACGATGCAACTAGCTGGAGCTGCTGTTGTGTTGCTGGTTGGAACGAGCGGCAACAGCCAACAAGGGATTTAGGGCCTCTTTGGTACGGCTTATGCCGGCTTCGGCTTCATCTATTTTGTGCAAATCGAGACACTGTAGCGTGAAGCCGTTTTGTAAGCCGGGGCTAAAATGAACTAGAAGCCAGGAAAAACCAGTTTTTCTGGCTTCACCGGATTTGGCTTTACCGGTGAAGCCGTTTTGGATGAGCCGTGCCAAAGGGGCTTTAAATAGGATGCTGTGAACGCGGGGTTGGTGACGCTTGCCCCGTTGGTGTCCGGTGGTGACCGGTGAGGCCTCAAGTTGCTGGGCGAGTCGTCGGGCTTTCCACAATGGATGGCGCTGTCGGTCGAGTGAGCTTTATTAATAAGGCCGGCGTCGAAAACACACGTCAGAAAGGGTTGTTGCACGCTCTTTGTCAAAACACGAGGATTCCTGATAAAAAAAACACGAGGATTCGAGGAATTTGTTGACGGAATTGGCGCCACCTTCCGCTTGCGCAAATTGGTCTAGGTGGCAAAAGCAAGCCTTTGTTTCGCACTTTGGGTTGGTATATATATGATAACAAAAGGAGGAAAATAACAAACATACTGACACAGTTAAATGTTACTGCATTTTTAACGAAAGTGTTACTGCATTTTAACTTTTCAAAAAAAAAAAGATGTCACCACACCTTTAATTTCTTTTCATTCTCGGATTAGCCATCCTGCCCTATTATTTTCTATTACTACCGGGTCGGCCTTATTAGCTTGCTGCCCCACACATCCCTCTAAGCTTGGTGTATCAAAACTGAAGGACTAATAGCTGAGCTATTTTTTTAACCAAATTCAACAAGTAACTAGAGCCATGTGTATCTAAACAGGACTAAAAAACCAAGGAGTCAAACTATAGAAGAGGTGATAGTAATCTTCGTGTATGATTCTTGGAATGTCTAGAAATAACAAAACAGAAGGGCTTTGTACGGCAAGAGGAAATGGCCCTCAGGAAGAAGGCTTGTGGTGAACTTAGCTTAGTCTAGTGTCACTGTTATATACTTCTGAGTTCTGTAACACAAGTTTGCAAAACTCTGCATTTTCTCCTTTTTTTAAAAAAAATGGACAGACAAGGGCTGCCTATTATATAGTACATGCAGGCTTCTCCTTACATGATTGAGCAAAGCTCCTGCCATTTCTTAAAAAAATGCAAGCTCGGTAGATAAGGGTTTGACCGTTTGAGGCTGCCGTTGAGCATCACTTTCGTTTCAACTCAGAAAATGAACTAAAAGCTGCTGAGAAGAGATTGCGTGGCTTTTGATTGTCCGGAAGCTAAAAATTTATTACAATAATAAAAAACCAATAGTCTGAAGCCATAAAACCAACTTATATGTGAAGAACACAGAAGGTACCGCTCAAACAAACACACCCTTAGATGTCTTCTTCTCCCACCTCTCTAGTGAAGCTATAGCTCCTGGAGCCTTCATATTAATTTCAATTTTCAATAATGACATATTCACCAGAACAGTCCCCAATATCTATTCGAAATGAGCAAAATTCCTTATTCAGTCAAACTTGCACAGGATTCCAAAACAGAATGCCCTTTTTCTTCCCACACAGAAGACCATGAGGGTATACATAATCCCACAACGACAGCATCGTACATACTACTCATAACATCTCAAGTCCATACACCGTACACTGCTTAGAGCAGCTTATTTATTTTGTATGAAAAAGGAATCAGGAAACAAAACCCAATCTCCGTATATATAAAATATGTATATGTATAAGGCCGCCCGGGAAGGGGAATCGCATCCCAATCCACTGATTTAGTTGTAGGCGTCGGGGTTGGCGACGAGGTAGGCCTCGGCACCCTTGAAAATGGCGGTGACTGCCTCCTTGGCCTTGGCTTCCTCGTCCTTCACGTCCACGCCCGGCAGCAGCTTGTAGGTCGACTCCACCTTCACCACGCTGCCGCCGTCGGCCGCGGGCTCCACCTTGATGTGCGACGCCGCGGTCTCGATGGCAACGCCGATGCCGCCGCCCTCGATGAGCGTGTTCTTGCACTCGCACTTGTCCACGTCCAGGAACTCGAGCCTCTCCTTCATGAAGCTGAACGGCATGACTGCAAGAGCGATCGCACGTCATGCGCTAGCGGTTTGATCGATCGATCGGGCGACAACATGTTGGTCTGGGCGGCTGTGGGCTGGGCATGCCGCGGACACTTACCTGAGGTGAAGTTGAACTGCCTGACGCTGCCAACGCCGCCGTCGCCCTCCACGGGGTGGGCGCTGGCGACGACGTGGGAGGCGACCTTGGGCGCCAGGGTGTGCCAGTCCATCACGGCGGCGCGGAACAGGCGCGGCGCGGCCACCGGCGACGGGATCTCGAGGGTCCAGCTGTTGGTGGAGGCCATTACTTCAGTGATCGGCTGATCGACTAAACTTGGAGCGAGCTGAAGCTGCTTAGGTGCTCAGCTCTGAGCGTGGCAGTGCTGCTTTCCCCTGCTTGTGTTGCCATGAGAGTGGCGGACTGTGGGCTTTAAATAGACGGTTATGGCGGGGGTTGGTGGCGTCCGGTGAGGATGAGACGCCCGGGAGTCGTCGGCTTTTCCAACTTGGGACTTGGCTTGGCTTGGCACGGCACCGTCGCTCGTCGCTCGTCGCTCGCCAGTGACCATAATGTGGCCGGGGTTGCAGAGACACGTCAGGAAACGTGCGGTCATTCCGTCAACGTTCAACTCCTCAAGGTGTAGAATATGTCGTCGAATTGGCACACCGTTTCGCGTGAGTGAAATGATTCTAGAATAACACAGTAAGGCTAGTTTGGGATGATGAGCTTCCAGATCAAAAAAGCTTGTAAGTGTGGTGGGTTGGTTTGATTAGAATAGAGAATTATATTGTGAGCGTCCTGACTACTTGCATCACTCTTTTTTTTTTTTGAAGTTAAAAGCGGCTCTAAGGCCTTGTTATTGCATCCATAGGCTTGACAAAGTCGTGAGACACTAATTTTTTTTGAAGGACTAGCGCCCAGACGTCCGGATGGGATGTCGCGTCCGGACGCGGCTCCAAAACCTGTGTTGCTCCCGCGTCCGTGTCCGCACAGGGACAACCACGCTCACGTCCATCACAGGGACAGCCACTGGCCGTGCAACACCTCGATCTACTTTTACAACATCCAGATAAAACATTTGCAACATACGTCTAAAACAGATGAAACATTTAGAACATACAGTTGAAACACCATTGCAACATCTCGATCTACTTTTAAAATATGCAGATGCAACACTTGCAACATACAAAAGAAGACAGATGAAACACTTGAGACATGCGTCTGAAAAATTACAATATACATGTACAAAATCAGATAAAACATTGGGGATAGACGCTTGCAACATACGTGTACAACCATAGCAACATATGCAACATCTCAATCTACATTTGCAGTATCCGCATGAAACAATTAAAACATACATATGAAAGAACTAAAACACTTGAAACATGGTCCTGCAACATGTCTGAAAAAACGTCTAGAAACATTTGAAACACAGCATCGCCGCACGGCCATGATCTACCTGGTGGGCAACTGCGGTGGCGCAGGCCTTCCCTTTGTGCCGACGACGCGAGGTGGATGGGGGCGCAGGCGCAGGCCTCCCCTGCTTCCCCTTCCGGGACGGGCGAGGTGGATCGGCGCGGCGCTGGATGTTGCGTGGCCGCACGCCCCCGCCATGCTCGCCGTCAGTCGAGGGAGAGGAGACGCTGCCAGATCTAGGGAGGGCGCCGCCGGTCGGGGTAGGGGAGGGTCAGCGGCTTGCTTGATCCTGCCGACCACGCGCCAACGGCTTGCTCGAGCCGCCATGGCGCCATGGAGTGGGGGGGAGCGGCCGTCATGGAGTGGGGGGAGGGTCACGGCCGCAGCTCCTCAAGGTGTAGAATATGTCGTCGAATTGGCACACCGTTTCGCGTGAGTGAAATGATTCTAGAATGACACAGTATGGCTAGTTTGGGATGATGAGCTTCCAGATCAAAAAAGCATGTAAGCGTGGTGGGTTGGTGTGATTAGAAAAGAGAATTATATTGTGAGCGTCCTGACTACTTGCATCACTCTTGTGAAAATTTTGCATTTTACTCCTTTTAAAAACTTATTTTATAAATAGCCTCTTCATGAAACCTTTTCTAAAAATGACCCACGTCGAGATATGCCGCTTTAAAGTTGCCACGTAAGTGCCGGCGTGTCAATCCGGCTGAAGCTCGGCGTTTAATTGATCAACGCCAAGATTAACGCTGAGGTGTTGCACCTGCACAGTAATAGTTGAGCCCAAGTGCATATACTTGTCCATTCAGTATCATCTGAAGATCCATAAAAAAAAATATAAATCCTCTTACGTGAGATTGATTTCATTAGAACCATAACGTTACCCTCTACGGGACAAAAATACATGGATTGATAAAATATTTGCCAAGATTTCTAGAGAATCAGGCATGATTTACATGTTGTAATTTTAAAATGGCTTGATACGTTGTAACTGGTAGGTTCTTAGGAATTTTGGTTAGCACTTTGCTAGCTGGGTCTCCCTCTCTGTATTTTTGGTTTTTATAAGATCCGTCAATAAAGTGCTGGGAGCATTGTTCCATAGTTTATTCAAGCAACCCATCTAAAATAAATAAAAAACTTATAATCTAGAATGGATGGAGTACTTAATAATTCGTGCACAAGATTTATGCCAAAATTATTTCTAGAAATTTTGGCAAACATTTTATCTATCGATGTAATTTTATCACGTAGAGAGTAACATTTGGTTCTAATAAAATTGACCTCACGTCAAGGCGATTTATATTTAATTTTTTATGAATGTTCACAAAATTTCGAATGGACACTCAGCTATTAGCTTGTACTGTGCAGGTGCAACCTCGGCGTTAATCAATTAAACGCCGACGTGGCTAATCGCGTAGAGTGATGATACGTCGAGCTTTGGTCTTTTCTAGGAAAAGTTTTATGAAGGGTCTATTTATAAAAAAAGTTTTCAAAAAAGAGTAAAGTGCAAAAATTTTACTAACTCTTTTGGTGTCGTCGCACTGTCGTTGTTTCCTCTCCAATCTCCGGAATTAAGCAAAGGTTTCGCTGTTTGCTTTCTCAGTTTACCATCATACGATTATTTATTATACTATAATCCTGTAAATATACCTCTTTTTATTCATCCTGTAAATATCTATAGTCACCGGCGGAGCTACGTTGGGGTGGGCTCTGGCCCCCCTTGCCTTCATGAATTTTGCAAAGCCTAAATGCTAGTATTTAGGCCATGTTTAGTTACACCCAAAATGTCAAAAATTTTAAGATTTTTTGTCGCATCGAATCTTTAGACGCATGCATGAAGCAGTAAATATAAATAAAAAATAAAACTAATTACATAGTTTAGACGAAATCTACGAGACGAATCTTTTAAGCCTAATTAGACTATGATTGGACACTAATTGTCAAATAATAACGAAAACACTACAATAGCGTTTTGCCAAAAATTTTGACATCCAAACGGACCCTTAGCCTGTTGTGTCTTGCCTGACGCTGGGAAGTCTCGGCTCATCCCTGTCCTTGCCTAGCTGCTTTCCGTGACTCCACACCTACTAAGTCGATAGGTCTGCAGCTCGCAGCTAGATGGTCAGCCTGCACAGCAGGAGTGCTCCCAGTCTTCCTTCGCCTCTGCACGTATAAGATAGAGGTACAGCCCTGCAGCTACGACTACTTTTGTGTTCTCATTGAATCCTCTATTTTTTTTTACTTTAGAAGTAATCTAATGATACCTATTATGCATCATAAATATTAATGATTTATTATGTATTTAGTCAAAATTAAAAATATTGGACTTCGGATTCAATGGTAAATTGCACCACCCCCCTATGTTTTGCTCCAAGCTCCGCCACTGTTTATAGTGGCGAGAATATGGGCAGAGCTCATACGAAAAATATCAGTGGTGGATAGAGATGTATGAGAAAATATTCAGCGCAAAGTATCAATTAGTTGCAAAAAATTTCAGTGCAAACTATCAATTGGGTGCAAACATAAACCCTTAGAAGTTTTTTTTATTAAAAAAAAGATGCCAAATCACAGTAGACGTACTTCGCCACAAAAGTTAACATACAAGCATAAAAATACAGAAAAACCCGGACAGAATGATAAACTTCAGGTGCACGTGAGCACACACACGGACACACCTCTCCACCGCACAAATCTCATCTTCTTCCCACAATTTGATCTTTTTTTTGAAAAAAAATTACGTTTAACCCTTAGGAGACGTAAACTCGTTTTTAAACCCTGGAGGTCAGCGTCAGAACTCATGGCTCTGAGGTAACGCGTCTCGGCGCCACATATCTTGGCTCCGAAGTGCCTGACCGTGCACAGCATGGCATCCTAAGTGGCGTTGACGTGACCGGTATTTCGGAGCAACAGATCTTGGTTCTGAGCTCGGAGCCACATATCTTGGCTCCAAGCTCGATATCAAGATCTGTGGCTCCGACCTCGGAGCCGTGGATCTCGGCTTCGAGCTCGAGCCATCCTGACGCCGAGCCTGGATTAAAAACCCACGGCCTCATCTTCCTCCACGTACATGCGCTCCACGTGCCAGTTCGTCCGCAGCATGCATGGCGATAGATGTGGCTCGGTGAGCCGCGGAGCCCATGCATGTCGGGACCAGCAGCCTCCGTCCGCCGCGTGCAGGCGGCAGGCGCTTCACATGCCCCTTCGATTCGACGGACCACATGGCACGGCACTGAAAGTCCTGCTTGTCGGTGATCAAGTAGGTTATATTATCCTCCCTCACCCACTCGATCCTCATGATCAAGTAGCTAGCTAGGTTATATTATCCTACCTCACCCACTCCTCGATCATGCCCTACTTAATTGATCCCTAATAAAACAGAAAGAACTAGACGACTAAACAACATTGTTTGTATATTCTCTGGCACGGCACCCGCTTCACGCTCTCTTCACCTCCTCCACATACTTGTTAGCTAATCAATCAAGAGGTAGCTCGAATGAATTTGCCTTGTACAAGAAATCGCATGTCATGCACTGTGTTAGCAGGAGCCCATATGTGGACTTGATGTATGATTACGTACATTATTGATGCTATTAATTATTATGCTACATTTCAATTATTATTCTGCAAATGCATTATCATCACCAGCCCTAGACAAAACGACGTTGGTGATAAGGTGATTATCACCAACTCATTTTTGTCCCATGCAGCTGTGATCAAGTGCTCATTATTGTAGCTGGATATATGAAATGTGGATCTGGCAGTGTCATCTGGTACTCCTCACTGCCGAATCAAATGCCCAACCGAGGGCGATGAGGTGCTCATCACTGCTAGATCAAACATTGCTCTAGCGGTGATGAAGTGATCATCACCACCGAATGAAATGTCGAGCCGGCGCTGATGAAGAGCTCATCACCACTGCATCATACACCGAACAGGTGGTGATGAAGCTCTCATCACTGTCAAATCAAATGCCGAACCAGTGGTAATATGAAGAGCTCGTCACTGCTAGATCACACTACTATGTAATCGATTTTGGGAGACAGGGCGATTTGATTAACAAAGGAAGACACAAAATCCCCCTATCTCCAAAAAAAACTTAGCGATCTTAAGAGGCGAACAAGCCATTGACGGAGACACTCAAACAAAAACATCTCCTAAAATCAATTATTAGAGCCGGTCCTCTTAAAAGGTTACCAGTTACAGGGCAGACCTCTTAGAAAGCCTGCCTCCATAAATAGCCTCCAACCCATTCTAGCCTAGTATCAACCCATAGTATAAAAGAGAAAGAGGAAACACTACACTTCTCATACCCACCCGTCCGCCACCGCACATCCTCCATTGGGTCATGTCTCTCCCGTCGGCCACATCACTCACGCAGTCGCAGCCCTCACTCTCCCATGTTGCCCCTCCCCTCTCCCTCAAAGTCGGCGACTAGCTAGGGCCCGAGTGGCATGGCGCATGCGTGGGTGCGCGCCTTCCACCGCTGCTAGTTGAGTCACGTGTCACGAGAAACTGGTGGCATGGACCTCCCTCATTATCCCTCCCTCTATGCTCTTGATCTCCCTCGCCTTTTCCCTCTCATAGATCCATCGGTGGGTTGGTGCCATGGTGACAGTAGAGGAAGAACCCGAGAGGGAGGAGGAAGAAATGAAAGCAGCCTCGGCAAGGGAAACTTGGCCGTGGGTTTTGAATCCATGCTCGGTGCCAGGATCCATGGCTCCGGAGCCACAGATCTTGGCGCCGAGCTAGGAGCCAAGCTTGGAGCCAAGATCTGTGGCTCCGAGGTACCGGCCATGTCAATGCCACCTAGGATGCCCTGCTGTGCACGGCCAGGCAACTCGGAGCTAAGATCTGTGGCGCCGAGACGTGTTACCTCGAAGCCATGACTCCTGGCGCCGACCCCTAGGGTCCAAAGATGAGTTTACGTCTCTCAGGGGGCCAAACATAAATTTTCTTCAAAAAAAGGACCAAATTGCAAAAAATTGGGTCACCTCGCGCGTACGGCTCCGTCTTCCTCGTGTCGTATCTTCTTCCTCCCGCACGCCCTTGCCGCCTCCTCTCACCCCGCCAGGCTCTGGCTCCGCGACGAAACCCTCGACCACCTTGACTCAGATCCAGCGACGCCCTCTGAGTGCCCCCGCCTCCACCACCTCCCACCACCCCGATGCCCACCGCCCCGCCGCTGGCAGTAGGGTCTCGCTGGAGCTCCGCGACCGTGGCCACGGCCGTGGAACTCCGGCGAGACCCTATCGCCGGCGGCGACCACCATCGCCGGCGGCGACCACCTTCTTCCCCTCCCCCCTCCCCCAGCCACCTCCCGCGTGCGGCCATGGCAAACTCCGCCGAGCTCCGGCGAACTCCGACCATGGCGCCCCTGCTCCGACCTGGCCCGGCCGCCAGCTCCCCTAAACCGCCCGTCGACCATCCCCACCGCTGGGCCTACCTGCCTCCCCCAGTCGGCCCTTCTATACCCCGCCGGAGTTGGAGAAGAAGGGGTGGCGTGGCTCGCTGGAACCCTAGGCGCCGGCGCCGGCGCGATCGCGGTCGGGCGCGTGGCGAGTGTGGCACGGGCACGGGCGCGTGGTGGGTGCGGGGGGGGGGTGGGGGGCTTCTCCGGTGGTGGCGTCGAGCTCGGCCCAGCATGCGTCTTCTCCGACTATCGAGCGTCTTCTCCGACGTCGAGCGTGTTGCCTTCTCTGGCGTCGAGCACATCAGACGAATCTCTCTTCTTCCCCGCGCGCAGCGGACGGCCACACGGGTGTGTGCGCCGAGCGTCGGGAGCATGCGCGCTCGGAATCAAGCATTTGGGAATTGGATTATTTCCGTACGCTTTTTTTTATCAAACAAGTTTGTATGTTAACTTTTACACGATAAAAAGGCACATCTATGACAATATGGATACGCATTTCAAAAGGGTTTTCACGTTTACATATGGAGATTGTATGGCCCGAATATTTCACCAAGCTGCACCTCACACGTCATTATACGGAGGTGGGGTGAAAACTGAAAGTAATTGGAAGAAAAAGCAATCCAGAATCTTAGAACTTAGAAGTCATCACAGTTCACATCATCACAGAAGTGCCGCGGGGTGGGGTGGGGGGATAAAAATCCATTAGGTGAGCTTGTCAAAGTTTTTTAATCTTTATTATCAATAAATTAATTAATTAAGGATTATTAGCATGTTACATTATTACCTCGTAACTATGATGGCAAGATTAGTTTTGATATGTACTAATATATGTTGATTAGTGCACATTTATGTGGAAATTAAGATAGTAGTAGTGCTAATTAACATATTTTATTTTTGATTAGTAATTACCATGGTAACAAACTTTCAACCAGTCAGGCTAACTAATCGCCGTAGTATCATGAAAGGAGAACCTTTTTTTTTTTGAAACTGAAAGGAGAACCTAGGGTTCCTAACTTTTGACCAGTCAGTCTAACCAATCGCCTTCCTATATGGAAAGGAACTAAGGAGGCACAACTTCAAAGTGGCTTCAAAATGCAACCAGACCCTGTCAAAATTCTGTGCAACTTTTCAGGGTTGCATATAGTTTACAAACTTGACAAAAATCAAGCTTGACCATTTAATTAAAAAAATACATCACCATAATGATGAATACCAGCAGTAGAGTCTACTTAGCATCATCATCATCATCATCATCATCATCGCTGTTTTGTGACGAATCTGAATCTTGACCAAACACTGTTTCATCAACATCTTCATCCTCCTCTTCGTCAGACTGGAAAGCAGCATCCTGCATCTCCTCTGATGTCGGCTCAGACATGTTACTAGCAGCCTTGTCGACCTGATGGAATTCAAATAAACACATGATCATTTGGTTTAGTCATTAACTGAAACATTAGAATTCATGGGTTATCTTTCAATGATTCAGTGTTGGATATGGATGAAAACCTGAGCCATTATTAACCGAAGCCGGCCAGAAAGCTTCAGCAAATCTTCAGTAGCTTTGTATCTCTCTGCACACATCTGCAAATGAAGGAATAATAAGTTTTTCTGCGCACATCTGTGAATGCCTTGTTGGCCACAACTTGCCTGTGTTGACTAAGATTGGTCTGGGGTCAGGTTTGTTCCAGCCTGCCAATAGATATCAATCTTACTATCTTAGGTCATATTTTGGCAAATTCAGTTGAATTAAACCTCCCATTTTCAGCAATATCAAAACTTGCGAAGCATGGTGTAATTTAGTGCTGGAACCAAAACAAAAGGATAAAGCAAACACATAATGTTTCATGATGTTAAGGCCCTTTTTCGAGTAATTTTTTTTTTCAAAGTTCATGGGAAACAAGTAAAATTGCACCAAATACTATGAAATTCTCGTTTTTCAGATGATGCCTTAATGTGACACAATACTGTGCTGTTTCTCACCAAATCTATTAGCCAGCCACATTTTATTACGCTCACAATGTTTGTCCATAGAACATCATTCGAACAAACAAAATAAGTTTGAGTTCAAAAACATCAATGTGAATGACCACGCAAACCTCAGTTTGATAACATGATACAACCACCTCTTATTTCAAAGCATTTAATTAGGGGTATGAAGGAAATATGGCAATAACTACTCTCCTGGTAGCCTCAATGAACAAACATTGTGGGACACAATTACATATTCACCTGACGCCATGGACAAACATAGCAAAACGGAGGGAGTAGTAACTTAAGATAGTTTGACTTAGATAACTACAGAAGTTAATTACATGATACAATCACCTCTCTTATTATATAGCATGATGTCTCCCATATCTATCTCTTTGCGTTAGAGGCACTATACCTTGTGCAGGTTGCTAATTACTTTTGTTGATTCCTCAGAGGGAATAAAACGGCCATGAATGACTAACAGGCAGTATATCCAGCGCAATACAACTTCTGTGATACCAGATCTGTGGAAACATCAACAAACAGGGCAAAATACATAATTACAAGATGCATGAGAAAGCACGGAGAATAGACATGTAAATTGAGTCTTGAGCACCTTGTTATCCATGCAGATACTAAATTCTCAAGAAGTTTGCAAGCATCTCCAGGTTTCAATGATCTTAGATGACCTCGAATCTGTCGAAAGAACAGATCATCATGAACAGTGTACAATAGACATGCAAATAGATTATATGATTGAATATGGAAAAGAAATTCAATTCCACAAACCTTCTTCCTGGGTAAATTAGCATTGAATTTTATGCTGCCATCACCAAACAGATCGGACAAAATATCAGAGGGAATGCCAGGATGGCCCTTCATGCTCTCATCTACTCTAGTGTCAATAATGCCACACTCCCTCATCATATCCTCGATGCATATGCTGTCATCTTCGGTTCTTTGCACAGGAACTAAACAAACAAATGAGTAAATGTAGTTATGGAAATGTTTAAGACAGCCACACACTGAGAAATAAATAAATCAACCATACATGTAAAATTCAGTGAAACCAAAAGTAAATGCTAGTGAATAACAACCTACAATATGTATATGTGATGGGAAAACAACTGCTTATGTAAGTTCAACATACCCAGACTGCTGCGTTTCCTTACTATGCTGTACAGAAAAGAATAAAAAACTACCAATATGTCATTTACCTCTTTTATGAATAGATCTTGTAGTGGTGAGGTCACTATGAATCTCAGGCTCCACGTCATCACTGGGTTTTGTTACACCATGTTTCCTTTTCTTTTCCTGTGTATGGAGCCTTGGAAGAGGAAGGATAGCATCTTCAGCATTGGCTCGGTCTAGAGCAGTTACAATTTCTATAAGAAAAAAAAAATTAAGATTTAGCCCAAGAGTAGCTACCAAAACTCAAAAAGGTGCATCCATGCTTCGCTCATTTAAGAATCGCACAAATTTAGTGCACAAACTAGTAGCTGACTTAGCTACTAAAAAATTCAAAGGGGTTATCATTTGTGTAACTCCCAAAAAGAAGGTGAAGTAAAGAAGCAAGATAAAATTTTCAACATAACTAACGAACATTCTCACTATACCTTGCTTTTTCACAGATTGGCCTTTCTTTGTCATGGTGGTTTGAGTATTTGGCAAGAGAACACCATCTTGAGAAATGCCCAAATTAATATCCATACCATAACAAACCAAAAGTTTATCAAAAGATGGTTTCACTACAGACCCATAAGCCAGTAGGACATGGGCAGAATTAGGTCCATCCACTCCTTGAAGTTTTGCGGCAAATATCGAGAATGCCTGATGAACTGTTGACACAGATGATTCAGACAATACGATCTTGGTCGGGTTCTTATTACGCAGGTCATCCACATCATTTGCAGACCAGAAATAGCAGACACCAATCTCAGAAATAGCCAAAATGTGTATTTCTCCTTCGTCTGAACATTTACAGTCCACAAATATTGCTGGGTGCTCCATCGACAGGATACAGTTTGTGCTCTGGGTTTTCCCACTGCCCAGCTTCCAAATGGCAATATAGCGTTCCCCAACTCCAGATGACAAAACATACTGGCTATCATTGCTAAAAACCATGCTCCTCACAGCAACCTATGAAGTTTTCATGGGTGCATGCAATAAAAAAAGATGGGTACTTAGATACAGAGGGGACATATCTCTAAACAGTAGTCCTGAAAGAGGAACACCAATAGGTAAGAGAAAGCAAGAGATACTCACTGGATGTCCAGAGAATTTTTTAATCTTTTTGTTGCTGGAAGTGTCAAAGGTCCTCAACTGGCCAGCTGCTGTTGCTAACACATTTCCATCTGACATAATCAAGTACAAGCTGCATGTAGTTAAAATTAAGTGGTGGAACTTTGCTGGATATGGATTGCATATACAAGCAAAAAATGCATATATAGAAGATGGATCCTACCAAGGACCTTGGCAAAAACAAGGTGCACATGTAACTAAATAAACATTTCAGCAAGCAGCATAAATGATATATCAATACCTGTAACTTATCAATTGATGAATAATAATGTTAGATTTCCATTTCCACAAAAACATCATAAGTGTCAGTATATTGTCTCATAATGCAGATAGACAGATATTCTTCACTGAGTTCATGTGCCAAGTGTTAAATCTATAGGCCAATCTACCAGATATAATCCTGTTACATCTATAGCCACCGCGGATACATTGAAACCTAGTGTTGGTTCGTACACAGCAATCAGAGCAGTGTTACATCCAGAAGACACAATTTATGAGAGCAAGCGCAGTAGAGACAACATAGTCACAAACTAAGAAGTCATTTCACAGTTGAGATACCTGATGACACAGCTAATGCAGATATTGCCTTTGAAGAAGATTTAAATTTCCCGACAACAGCCCCATCAGAGGCATCAATCCTACAGACCATGCCATCAGCGCCTGCCGTGTACACACTCCGCCCATGTTTTGAGTACGCTACAGCCGTCACGCCCCTAAACACAACATGTACTCCAATGTAAGTGAGCATAACTGAGATGAAGCTTTCAGAGATTAACCTTAGCAGCAAAAATATAAACAGGGACAGGGCCAAAGATACAATATGAGTATGCTTCACAACATGTGTAGCCATTTTTAATGTTACTTGTTAGTATGGTCATTAGGTGTAGCTAGTGGTTTTGACTGGGTTGGCTTTGGTTTGCACAGATTAGATACTGCCATACTGGTTACCATTATGGGTTGGTTTGGATTGGGCCAGCGGTTTAGACAGTGTGGAACCACCATCCGGTGCAGGAATGTAGTTACTTGCGTATCAACGACGGTCTTCTTAGCGGCAGCGGCAGCAGCTTGACGGAGTGTTTCTGTGTGGCAGTCCAAAGGTTGAAGATGACCAAGGATGGGTTAGCCGGTTTGATTTGTTGTAAACCGAGAGCCAACCCCCTTCCAAGGATGTGATTTTGACTCTGCAACGAGTAAACCCATTGCTAACTGTTACCCTGATTTGATCTGGATTGGTTTGTGGAGTGAACCGGTTTTGACCCAACCTGTGAACAGGGCTATGGCCATAGATGATCCTGTACTCAATTGTGGTTTATTAGTTTCAACAACTGAATATGTATTTCCCCTAGCACTTGAATTCAAATAAAAGAAGAGGTTAAACACCAACTTACCCAGGGTGGCAATCGCTGACCTTCCACTTCCAATCGCCCGCAGCGACATCAAGTGCCAGCACATCCCCACTGCCTGTACCAAGCACAATCAGTGAGCTCCCAGCCTTCCTCTTCTTCTGCTAAGAAAAAAAAATGTAAGCAGGTGATAAGGGCGCATCCCAACATAACAAGCTGTAACATCTCGACATGGGGGTGGTCAGGTGGATTCGCTCACCTTGCTGGAAAGCTGTACCCACTTCATGCAGGTGTAATCGAGGGCGAGGTGGCCGCGCTTCGACTCAGCGACCGCGACCGCGCCCGCGCCCGCCTCCACTGCCGGGATGTCGGCAAACTCGGTCTGCAGACGGCCCCGCACGGCGTCCCATACCTGCGCGAACGGCAAAGAGAGAGTGTTAGGTAGCCCATAGCTTCAGTGGCAAGCTGCTAATGCGAGGACCGTAAGTTTCGATGTTCCCTGCCTTGATGCGGCCGTCCCCGGAAGAGAGCGCGAGGAAGTCCGCGCTGGGGCTGAAGGAGGTGAGCAGGTCGCGTATGGAAGCCGCAACGGGCGCCATGGTTGGCCCGCGGCGGGCGGCGGCGGAAGGAAGGGTTTAGCCGCCGGCGGCGGCGGAAGGAAGGGTTTTGTGGAGGAATGCGGTAGCGGCGGTACCCGTTCGTGCAAACCTACCAAGCCCGAGTCACCCTCGCGCCGTTTGCCGCTTGGGCTCGGTCGCCCCATATAGCCAGCCGGATCGGAGAAAATAGGAATTCTGCCGGAGTGGGCTTCGCCTAAATGCTATTAATTTTAGGCATTTTTTTTTTTTTTGTTGAAATGTCATTATAAAATGAGTCCAACACACTATAATGTTATTTTAAGTTTTAAGTCGGCTTTAAAAAAAATTCAGACGAAATTTTAGCCTCCAGTGACCATTTTGCCTCTGAGCTCGTTGACCTATTCCCTGCGCTCTCATCTCTCCCCCTCTCGTTGTTCTCTCGCTCGAGTGAAAGGTAGAGCGTCGCCGCCCCAGGCCGCCCCCCACCCCCGCGCCGCGTCCCCGGGCCGAGCCTCGCCGCCGCCATCCGCCCCCAAGACGCTCCTTGCCCCTAGGCGAAGGCTAGCTCGCCGGCGCCGCCACGAGCAGGTCCCCCGCTCTCCTCGTCGCTGGATCTGCGGCCGCTGTTCCTGGGCGTCCGGGTGCTCTTCCCCAGGCGAAGGCAGGCCCAGCCAAGCCGCTCGTCCGCGCCAGGCCGCCGTCGCCCGACAGCGCGTCACCAGGCACGCCGCGCCTCCCTGCGTCACGCCAGGCTATGGGTAAGGGTTCATCTAGTTCGTCGTTCATCCCAATAGGTGTCGTTTCTCTGTATCCACTTGGTTCTAGTGGGATCCCCTGATTCCATGCCCAGAATGTGGTGATAAAGTAGTGGAATGCAAATCCTGTAAGAACAACGGCAAAATTTTCTTCAAATGCGTAAACTACAATGAATTTGTGAGTATATATTGCTCTGTTGTTTATTGTCATATACAACTGGATGAACTAGGTACTGTGTCAAGGTTTGGATAAATAAATTGTGCTATACTCCCTCCGTTCCTTAATATAAGCCATATAGTTTTTAGCATCAATATTAATGCACGGTTTGAGGAAGGATGTGAGACCGAAAAAAAAAAGGAAAATCAGGCCATCTTCTCTCTCTCAATCAGATTGCTTCCTAAATCTAAGAGATTAGTTGGGGCATGTGCTATATACGGTGGGAAGGTTTCCAAACTAATCGACGTGGAAGCTGATACGTACCTATATTTTATAATTTTCTTTAGAAATCTATATGGCTTATATTAAGGAATGGAGGGAGTATATTGTCATTTCCACAAGCAGTGAAGAAATATCCATTCTTTATGTGGTTGGAAGAGTACAAGAAAATAGTCGCAAAGAAGCTTAAAGAAGATTTGCTAGCTGCAGTGCCATTAGAATGTCATGGTGAAACTAAATGTCAAGAAGAAATGAAGCTTAAAAGCAAGATTTTTTATGAAGATAAGATCTATCTCAAGATGGACAAGCTTATCGATCTGATCCAGCTGTTGGTGATGCTCTGTTTAGTCATGACTGTGAAAGCTCTAGTTTAGTTTTGGTTAATTAATGAAACCTTAAGTGCTAACCTAGTTTATCAAAGTGATTATAAGATAGGTAGCACTACTCCAAGTAATAAAGCAATAACGAAGAGCATGACAATGGTGATGGCATGGTGATGATCAAACGCTTGAACTTGAAAAAGAAGAAAGAGAAAAACAAAAAGCTCAAGGCAAAGGTATAAATGATAGGAGCCATTTTGTTTGAGTGATCAAGACACTTAGAGAGTGTGATCACATTTACGATAGATAACCGTACTATTAAGAGAAGTGAAACTCGTATCAAAATGCGGTTGTCAAAGTACCACTAGATGTTCTAAACTCATTGCATATGCATTTAGAATCTAGTGGAATGCTAACACCCTTGAAAATATTTAAGAAAATATGCTAACACATGTGCACAAGGTGTTACACTTGGTGGTTAACATATTTGAGCAAGGGGGAAGAAGACAGAGGAGTTGCCAATGTTGGTCAAGTGACCGGACGCTGGATCTGAATGCACCGTACGCTGACTGCCTGTGTCCGGTCGCGCTGACTTGGCAGTACAGGAGCTAGGGTATACCATCGGACGCTGGGCTGTGTCCGGTCGAGGTGGACCAGACGTGTCCGGTCGAGGAAAAACGGTTTTGGACCCTTACTGTACTCGACCGGGCGCTGAGGCTCCAGCGTCCGATCAGTTTAGTCGAAGCGTCCGGTCAACACTTAGTCGTGGAGATCTGACGGTTCAGTTTTAACTCAGAGTGACACGTGGCAAAAATCAGTGGACCGGACGCTGAGTCCAGGGTCCGGTCAGTCTGACCGAAGCGTCCGGTCAGAGCGCGTTTTGCCCAATGAAGGGGTATAACGGCTCTATTCCGTGGGGGCTTCTATTTAAGCTCCATAGACGGTTGAAGCTCCAACTCTTGGCCATTTTCATTGACATAGCAACCTTATGAGCTTAGCCAAAGCCCTCCCACTCATCTCCATCATTGATCCATCATCACTGTGAGATTGGGAGAGAATCCAAGTGCATTGCTTGAGTGATTGCATCTAGAGGCACTTGGCATTCGTGTTGCGCTGCGGATTTCGCTTGTTTCTGTTGATGGTTGCCACCACCTAGACGGTTGAAGCAGCGGTGGAGGATTGGTACGAGTTGGTGATTATTCGTGGTCATCTTCGGTGATTGTAAGGGGAGTTGTATCTTCCCCGATGGAGTGCCAAAATATAACTCTAGTAAATTGCTCGTGTCATTGAGTTACCTCATTTGTGGATAGGTTCTTGCGGTGTCCAATCGTGTGGACGAGGTTTGTGAAACACCTCTTAGCCGTCGAACCACCAAGTGTTGGTCGACACAACAGGGACGTAGCGTGTTGGCAAGCACGTGAACCTCGAGAGAAAATCGATTGTCTCTTGTCTCTTGTCTTTGGCATTCTCCTGGTGATTGGCTATATATTCATCTTATGTTTGGTTCATCCCCTATACGGCGGTATATCACCCTACTAACTTATTTACATTCTTGCAAACTAGTTGATACAAGCTCTTTAGTGTAATTAGAATTGAGAGCTTACTTTATTATTTACATTCATCTAGTTTAGCTCTTTAGAGTAGCAAGATTAAGAGCTCTTAGTGAGTAGTTACATAACAAGTTTGTGTGCCTAAGTAATCATTACAACTAAAATTGTTGGATAGGTGGCTTGCAACCCTTGTAGAGCTAGAGCAGGTTTGCAATACGCTATTTGTCATACTAATCAAATTGCTCTAGTCGATTTGTAGATTTTTAAATAGGCTATTCATCCCCTTTCTAGCTATATTAGGACCTTACAGACTATCATAATTCTTTTAGGTGTGGTAGTGCTTATTAGCAAGTGAAGCAAGATTGTGTTCTAGAACTATGTTGTATCAGTACTGATTAGTTAGCTTTTGCTGCTAGTTTGATGTCAATAGGCACAGATGATTTTGTATAGCACCATTTTCAACCTGTTGTCTAGCCTTGTTATATGAGTTAACCATGGTACTGAATCTACACATGTTCTGTGAACCTAGCTCACCTTGAAACTTTCTGTTGATCTATCTCAAGCCTGGTGTTTGAACTGAATCTATCTCAAGCCTGGTACACAATTCAGGCATCCAAATCATTGCAGAGGTGATGGATATAGGGCAATCACCTCTGCATTGTGTGATCTTAGTTCAGTTCCAATCTGATGCTCTGGTGTAATCACATCTGTAGGTTTGTTATTTCTAACAAAAGCAACCTCTTTATCTTCCCCACATGTTAGGATTGAATAGATAGCCCCCAAACAACACATTAAGATGCATTTCTTGGTCGAGAGAGAGGCTTCATGTTCTTAGCAAAAGGAGAGCTGCAGCTTCCAGGAAAACAGTGTGATACCTGTCGAAGTCATGAAAATCACTCGGTTAGTTTGGTTCAGGAGCACCCTTCCAGATCGGCTGTGATGCAGCTGACCGCAGCAAGTGCTGCGCTAGCCACAAGCGCCAGAGACAGCGGGGATGGCAGCAGCTGCAGGTTCTTGGCCCTGATTTCCAGCACGCCTTATCGCCTAGGCAAATGAAATGATCAAGGAATTGAAGGAAAAGGTATAAAACTGTAACAGAAGATTTGAAAGTGTATAAAACAAAACAGGTATGCATCTAGAAAAACAGTGCGAATCTACTAGTCAGTTCATGAACAGGTTTTAGTCTCATCTCTCATCGCAGGTGATTAGGCATGAGTGGAACATCATATTCAGCCCACCACCAAAAAGAACTCACCAGCAAAGTGCAGGCCCCAAAAGAGTATAATCTAATTACAAGATGCTTTGACCAATAACATTATAGAAATAAAGTAGATTTCATAAAGGTTCACACAATACATAGGTACTATTTACGTTACAACAGACGGCATTACAATTTCATGATCAAGATATATGTCCACATACATTACAATTTCAAATGTCAGCTCATACATAGGCATTACAATAGAGTTTTTCAAATTCACATCTCAGTTCGTCTTCAACTTTCTTGGAATCAACTTCTTCGCTATTCCCTTCTTTGATTTTGGTGAAGTTGTAGCCTGCTTGTTTGGCAATAAATTATTTAGCAATGTACTTGGCCCTTCACCAAGTAGTACAGCTAGTCGGCTGCAACATGAAAGAATTGTAATGGACGGCAGCTTCTTCATGAAAGAATTATAATGGGTTCATGAAAGAATCGTAGTGTCTTCTAGTCAACCTTTTCTAGACTTGTTGACAAAAGATTGGCCTTAACTGTGGCAACATTTTCAGCATGTACACGAGTACGTTCAGCTTGGACGACAACATCTTGAGCCTGTACAGGAGTATTTTTAGCACCATTTTCTGGCTACACAGGAGTATTATCAGACTGTACAGCACCATTTTCAGCCTGTACAGCAGCATTATCAGACTGTACAGAATTTTTTCAGCAGCTTTTTTACCATTCTTCCCATACTTCGTTGTATTGGTCCTAGGCTTCATTTTCTTACAAGTTAGAACAATTTAGGTACTTATAGCTTGTTTGTCCCATTTAGTAGATGTAAGTTACAAAACTATAGAAATCAGTACTTTTTTTGTCCCATTTAGGCGGTACTTGTAGCTTGTTTCTCCATGACCCAATTCTCCACA